GGCTCAGAGGCAGGCGCCGAGCAGTTGCCCTCGTCGGAGCCGTCCCCGCACTCGTCCACAGTGTTGCACTGCCACGGGCCCGGCAGGCACTTGCCGTTGTCACAGCGGAACTCGTCGGCCTGGCAAGAGGCCTGGCCCAGCTTCCCTGCCGGTGGAGACGTCACGGGAGACAGTCAGGGAGGGTGGAGCCTCCCTTCCACCCCCGTCGCTGGAGCAGGCAGGTGGCTCCCCATCCCAGCCGGGCCCTGCAGGGCTCAGGAAGAGGCAGGACCGAGGAGAAGGCCCCTCACCTCTCCACGGTCGCCTGGGGGGCAGAGACCTCTCCCGTGCCAGAGTGGGCCCCATCCCCGACCTGAGCCTGGGGTTAGGGGTGTGTCACTCCCTCTAGCCATGCCTCGGAAGGGGGGCCAGTGACCTCGAGAGGCTCGGAGGCATCCCGAGGCAGCAGCACGACCAAGCCCACCCCTGTCCTAAGACCGACAGGGACGGTGAGGGGAGACCCTGCAGGGAGCTGGGGCCTTGTGAAAGGTACTGCCCTGGCCAGGATCCCATGCTGGTGGCCTGGCAGCCACCGTCACCTCGAATGTAGGAGAGCCGGAAGCCCTGGGCCTGGCCGGAGCTGGAGGCATCGGAGTGGAAAAAGATCCAGACGTGGTCGCGGGCAGAGATGAAGGCTGGGGGGATGGCAGAGCCACACAGGCGGAAGGCCTCCTGGCGCGGGGGCGAGGCTGGGCCCAGCAGCAGCCAGTCCAGGGAACACTGGTGGGACTCCTCCACGTCAAAGTTTCGGAAGCTGCGGGCAGAGAGGACCCAGACCTGGGCGGGCGGGCAGGGCCCCCATGGCCGAAGACCGCCAGACTGGGCAGGCTGGAGCTCGTGGCCAGGCCAGGCCTCCAGCCCCGACCCTGCCCCTCGGCTCTCAAATGGCCTGACTGCCATCCACTCTGTCCCCACCCAGGGTTCCGAGGGCAGCTCCACGAAGAATCGTGGCATCCGTGGACACCACTGTCCGCTCCACCGCGGCTCCCCTTCTCCCTTCACCAGTGCACACGGCACCTCCAGCCCGAAGCCAGAGTGGAGAGGGGAGTCAGGGGGGTCCCCAGCACTCCCCTGCAGGGGAGGCCCAAGAGCCCAGATCCCTCCCACACTGGGCCAGGCCCAACACAAAGGCCCAGGCATGGGCACTGAGAGTGAGGCTGCACCCACAGGGTTGGCTGAGGCCACGGCTGGATGACAGCTTGTCAACCGAGGAAGAACTCTGGCCCTGGACCTCCTGGCCCAGAGCCATGCCCTGTGGCCCTGGGGAAACTGAGGCACAGAGGCTAGGACAGACTCTGCTCATTCCCATCACATGTCTGTGCTTTGGAGCTACAGAGTAATAGGGGAGGGAGGATGGGATTCTGGGATGACCCTTCTTCCCAAGCTCTGGCATTTGGGAGAGCGATGGCAGATGGAATCCTTAGTGAGCCTCCAGCCAAACGCCCCCATGGCCACCCCAGGCCAAGGGTTCCAGCCCCCCAGTGCCACAGCCTAGTCACCTCATGCAATTTCCCTCTGCAAGTCCTCTAGAGCACTCGGGCTCTGCCTGGTTCACTCCCCTGCTGAGGTTGCCCCAAGGCCCCTGGGGAAACCCTGCTCTGGGCTCAGTGCCAGCCTGGCCTCAAGCCACCCCTGTAAGAGAGAGAGGACCCCTCTGCTACCTCCAACCACCGGACCATGCCCACCAGCCCTCAGGATGTGTCCCCAGCAGTGTGGGTGCCAGCCTTCCCTTCCTGGCAGGGCCGAGTGACTCACACAGAAGATGCTCAGGGCAGAGAGTGCCAACTCAGGGCACCGAGCCACAAAGGCCCACAGAGACCTGGGCAGCTGGGACACTCGCGTGCTCATGCATGCTCACATACACTCACATATGCACACACGTGCTTACAGCTCACATATGTCCTCTCACACATGTGTCCTTTATGCCTGCTCAGATATGGGCTTCTGCATGTCCACAAACACATATGTGTGTGCTCACACACACCTGCTCACACATACACACACTCATACACCTGCTCACACATGTGCTTGCACACATGCACACACCTGTTCACATGCTCACACACGCACATGGCCACATTGATGCTCATGTGCTCACATACATGTGCACACCCACACACCTAATCACACGGATGCTTGCACACATGCACACACATATCTGCTCACATGTTCTCACACATAGGCACATATCTGCTCACAAGCACACATATGCACATGTGTGCCCTCCATACCTATCCAGACACGCACTCACCCAGCACCTGTGGGCCCCGTTGATTCCCTCCAGCACCCTAAGGCCCCCTTACCTGATGGTGATCATGTCCCCACGGTCGCCCTGGATGTACCAGCTGCAGTTGGTGCCTGGCGGGTAGTTGAGGGGCCAGGCCGGGCTGTAGATGACACCACGCCGCTCCGTGTGCTGCTCCAACTTCCCACTGCAGGCCGCTGTCGGGAGAGGAAGCTGAGAAACGCCGGCCCCAACGCTGGGTGGGAAGCAGACTGGGGGGGCTCTAGCCCCCCAAGGCTTGAGCACAGGCCCCCCCAGGGGGAGTCAAGTCCGGCCAAGGGTAGCCACGGTCAAGGGCAGGGCCACAGCTCGAGACTTCACAGAAGTGCTGTGTATGAGGTCAAGGAGGACCCACCTGGACTCGGGGCAGCAGAAGCCCCCAGCCCTACACAGTGAGCCAGAGCCTAGGTCCTGCCCCCAGATCTCCAGCAGGGACAGAAGTGAGCCTCCAGCAGGGACAGAAGTGAGCCCACCAACAAGGCCCCTTGGCGCCTGGCACCTCCAAGGTGCAGCAGCTGGCCTCAGGACCTCCGCTCAATGAAGAATTCTGCACACCAGGCCTGTCAAGCCTGCACGGGCCATCCCACCACGATCCACTGACTGCCCTCCCTGAGATTTGCCAAATGTGGACCTCAGCCCAGGGAGGAGAGGGGCTTTGCTCACTGGGCACGTACCTAGTGAGCACCTACTATGCGCCAAGCACACACGAGAGACGTGCTGGGTAAGGCGGGAAAGCCCTGCTCTGTTGGAGCTCGCAGGCTGGGGTGGGAGCAGACAGACGATGCAGACCCCTGGATGGACTGAAGTCGCAAAGCAGGCCCAAGGGGGGAGGCCATGTCCAGATGTGGCTGGAAACACAGCCCGAGTCTGGTCACGACTTACACAGCAGCTGGGTTTTGGCCTGAGTATAGGTGGGACGCCCCTGGAGGCAGATGTCGGAACCAGAGGAGGAAACTGAGACTCGGACAGGGTAAGTGACTCGCCCAGCGCCACAGCCAGTGAGCAGCAGTCAGGAGTCACTCTGGTCCTCTGGTGGGGTCGGCCTCTCACTGCAGCCTTGAGTCAACAAGTGTCTGTAGAGCAACTGTATGCCACCTCAGGGAAGAGCACAGGGCATCAGACCGGCTCGAGGGAGAAGTCCAGCATACCCAGCCCCATGGGCCTTGCTTCAACGGGTCCATTATCCATGCCCTCTGCTTCCTAGCTGAGCCCACTCTGCCTGGAGGCTCCGAGCCAGCCAAGGCAGGACGGTGGGGCTGCCCGACCCTGGCATTCCCCGACCTGTTGTGCCTGC